CTCTTTCCAAAACACACTATTATTTTTGAAATTCATTGTCTCACTAAATATGTGGGTCTCATTTTTTATTTAGTGACTGTGACTCTTCTCACAATGATGAGACCAACATGAATTTCAACCAATAATAAAAAATGTGCTAGAATGTACTAGAGAATATATTGCTAGCATTCTTCTACATTACATTACCAAATTTTGGAGGTGAAGTTATGCAATTTGACACCAAAAAAAAATGTTAATAAAATAGACCACTCTATACCTGAAGCGAACTCTCTTAAGATCTATAACCCCTCCTGGTAGAGAGGTGAGAGTAATATATACACCAGGTTCATCTTGCTCAACCCATTCAGTCTCATTATCCTTTGTTTTGCTCCCATTTCTGCTAGTTGCATCTGATTGACTGTGTTTAATATGTCCTGCACTCCGGTTGGTGATGGTGGTTGATCCATTTGAAAGTAACTGGTTATTAGATCCAGTTGAGTCTGATTCTGGGCTTGTTGCTTGAATATTCAATCGATCAAAAGAAGCACTGGTAAGGTCATTGGAACCAGGATTTGAGCCAAATGAAGCAACAGAAGGTGGTGATCTGACATTCCTAGATGCTCCTACAGGCAGCCTCTCGGCCATGTCCTTCAACTATTCAGTGCAAGAAACAAAGACGTGTGATATTAGCGACACTAGTTCTGATACATGCTGTACAAATCCAAATTCATAAGACATCTGACTAAAATGGAAAATTGAAAATCCACCCGTTTAGTTTTTAGTTGACTTGCGCCCAACTGTAACTATTCAGGCTTTCACATTGTTAATTCAGTTAATATTATACTTCTAGTCCTAGACTTATTTTCATAAATTTAGAATATTAAATTTTGGTATAGTTATGTCAAATCAAAGCATAGGCGTCCGCTTTGTGACAATTTCCTCATTCTTGTGACCATTTAAGCATGTTTTCCAGAGGCTGGTCATTTATTCAAGATATACACTACTTGACCCCAAAGTTAGAATAGTACTTGCATGCAATTTTACTAGATATTATTTCTGATAAACAAAGGCAATTACAATATATAGACTTAGGCTCGTAACTACTTTCCTGGAATAAGCCTCTATTACAGGCAACAAATCACATTAATAATAGCAATAACATTTACTTTTGCTTCATGCGTGTGTGAGAGCTTCTAGCTGTCGTAGGAATATAGATTTTTATTAGTGACTTGAGGGCTACAGTTTCTACCTGGGCAGTGAGTGACTTGATCACTTCCTTTGCTGCTTTGCATTTGGCAGTTTCTTCGCTTGCAATTGCTATTGCTTCTTTTAACTGTTTAGTTGCTCTTTCCAACTCAACTTCTTGAAGCTGCGCTTTCCGAGTCAGGTTTTCAACCTAAAGGGGGATAAAAATTCATCAGGTTCACTACACGCAGATAGTCAGGAGATTTAATCCAAAGGTGTAGTTTAGAAAAATAAATGAACAGGAGAAGAAATAAAAGTGAGTTAAACATCTCATGGTAAGGGGCAATAAAATACAGATATTAGACATCTTGTACAACAAAATGGCCAACGGTTTATTAAAAAAAAAACATGATTGTCAAGTGATTAGAAGGAGCTTTTAAAACTGATTAATTGAACCTTGCAAAAAAGGTAAAGAAAAAAGTCTACTGTTAATTTCTGTATCAACTCATACTAAACAAAAACCAAGGAACAAAAAATTGGTATCACTAAGTATGAGCAGCTTTGATTACAGAACCATCTCTTTTGCTAAAATAAGGGCTTAAAGTACAGAAGCTGACCACCTAAAACTAGGGCTAGCAATGAGCCACACAGAGCCTGATGGATGTCGTGTGAATAAGCAGTCAGATTGAACTCAAGAAAAGATATGAAGGAGAGATTACAACAGAAAATGGTCAACTCCCTACCCCAGAGCTATGCTCCACAGAAAAATTATCCCTGCCCAAGATAGAAGCAGAATGGAATAACAGAGAAAAAAAATCATAGGCCTCAGTTTTACTCCTATAAGACTACCTCTCCACTATCGGTGCATCCCACACCACAACAGAAACATAACAAACCAGCCTGTATGGCCTAGTTTAGTCTATTTATTTTGTTTCCCTTTTATACATCTCTTCTAGAGTAAACCCTCCATATCCAAGGTCCATCTCCTTGGCTTGCAAGTAATGGACCTCTATCAGAGGCAAACCTGTAAAAGCTCAAGCTCAGGTCATATATACTAAACAAAGTCAAAATCTCAATTTTCAGACTCAGTTCATGAGCCTAGCTTATTGAGCTTATCACAAACAGAATCTTGTATGCCAGACCTCTTTGAAACAGTTGCATGCACACACTTCGATGTAACAATATTTGAAAAATAAAATTTACATGACAGTATTACATCTTTGCAGATACATTGAATTTTTATATAAATTATCTGGCTTATAAAATACTATCTATCTAAACCATTAACAGATAAAACAGCAAATAATGAAGTCAATAGCAATTAAATCTGCATCTAGCTAGCAACAATCAAAGCATGATAGCAACAATTGGTATAAAAACTTCATTCTTGCTTCTTTTTTTTCTTTCTCCCCATGGTAACTAAGGTCATTTTCTTCGGAGATATTCCACATTAAAAAAATATCCTTCAAAAGAGAATTAGAGAAACCTAGTTTGAATACAACAAAGGGTGCCAATGCCCACATTTGAGCTTGTTTATATTAAAATTCTATAAAATAAAATAAAAAATTCATTTCAGCATGGGAATACAACCTATCAATGAAAGCATAGGTTAAAATACCTGTGATCTTAATTTAATAACCTCCTGACTGAGGCTATCGTTGGTTCTCTTAGCATCATCCACAACTATCTTTGGGGATGCCAGTCCCCCAAGAGTGGGGGTTGGAGTAGTTGAACGTGGTGGACTAGTTCGTCTAGATATTGGGGATGTTGCCCGGGAAACAATTCTAGATCCAGGAACAGAAGCTGAAAAAAACTTTTTTGATGATCCAAAAACAGGATTAAATGATTTAGAAATATTCATTGTTCCCCATTGTGAACCTCCATTTGGAACAGGGGACACGCGGCTACTGTTGAATTCCAATTTTTTATTTTTCTTTGAAGATCTGCTGTCTACTTGTTTTAAGGATTCCATTGAAGAAAACCTGGCATGTTGATTATGAGATCTGGAATCCAATTTATCATCCTTACCAATAAACTCAAGTGACCCCTGATTAACACTTCCTCTTCTGCTCATAGAAGCCTGAGATGAAGAATCAGTTTCTGTAGTTTTCCTTATTTTATTAAAACAATTATCACAGACACGATAAGGTTTGTTGGGGTTTGGTGCCATTGAAGCCTTAACAGATTTCTTACTACTGCATGAATGACAAAAAACAAGTCCACAATTATAACAATTGTGGCGTTTTCTTTTGAAATTGAATGGCAGACGGCATCCAGAACACATGGACTGGTCAACACCAGATACCCACTTATGCAGGCATATGGCTGCAGTGAAATTTGTTCCACAAGCAATACTTTTTACTTGTTTGTCTTTCAGTGCTTCTACTAATGTTGGGGAGTTTCTATCATTAGTATCCCCATGGCCTAAACGACCATTTGCACCCTTCCCCCACGTGTAAACTTCAGTTCTTGAAGTTAACACCGCAACATGATATGCACCACAAGCTACCTCCTCAACAAAACTCTTCGAAAGCTTTCCTTCGACACGAGTTGGTAGCTTCCCATCAGCTTGAGTATTTCCTAACTGGCCATATACACAACTGCCCATTGTATAGACATGGCCTGATCTAGAAAGTGCAACAGTCATACTATGACCGCAGGCAACTTGACAAAAATTAGGTTCAACAAGAGCCACGACACAGGTTGGAACAAGTTTTGATTCCTTGTCACCATGCCCAAGTCGACCTTTGTCTCCATCACCCCATGTAAACAGCTTCCCGGAAGAGCAATTGCTGGAACTTGAATTTCCAACCATGACCTCCACAACAGCAGCAGTATGCCAGACACCACAAGCAGCCTGCACAGTTCGAAGACCCTTTAGGGACTCTATTTCCCTAGGCAAGGAAACACTTTTTCGGTCTCCATGACCCAGAACACCAAATGTACCATCACCAAAAGTAAATAATTGCCCAGCAGAGGTTACAACAGCAGTGTGCCATGGACCACAAGAAATGGATGAAACATGTATGCCCTCCAAAAGGCCATTTACTCTTTTGGGGACCCAGTGGCTCACCTGATTCCCATGCCCCAGAAGACCATAATTGTAAGTGCCATCACCCCATGTATAAAGATCACCAGAAAGTGTCACAGCACATGTATGGTACTCCCCACAAGCTACAAGTTCGATATTTGTATTACTTAGAGATTCAATAAGCTTTGGATGGGGAACATCAGAATCAACTCCATGCCCAAGCCTTCCTCCTGATTCTTCCCCCCAGGAAAAAATTTCACCTTGTTTGGTCACCAAGGCAGCATGTTTCCCACCACAAGCAATATTCTGTACGTCAAGAACTACTGCCGATTCCAAGGCTTTGGGCAACAGAGAATCCATTTTGACACCAAAATTACTCTCAACTTGGTGAGCTCCACCACCCAGTACACTATCACCTGTGCCTTCCCCCCAAATAAAAACATCCCCCAAGGCATCACCGTCATCATGGCCAGAACCTTGGCTAGATGAACTAACGGCACTTGATAGACTAACTCTAAAAGCATCCATAGGCATTGTCTTCATTTGACCATGCATGCTATCTGATCCTCCTGATGACACAGAGTGGAGTGAACCACTGGCTGAGTCTGGAGGGAAGAAACCCATTGGAGGAATAGGATAATAAACCACATCTGAAAATGCTTTATCCAAACCATTCTTAGGGGGGCTTTCATATGGGCTATGAAGGCGAAGATGATCCCCACTATCCTGCATATGGAAAATGAAAATCCTCTTAATAAACATCTTTAACTGAAATGTAGTCAAACAGGGAGAAAATACAAGGACACATAATATATTGATACCTTTTGCAAACTTTCATTACTACCAAATGGAGAATTCAAGGGAGAACTTCTGGTGTATGTTCGAGGACTATTAGCTTCAGATGGAATACCTTCACTTCTTGACTCTGGTCTCCACTTCCGGTGATGGCTGCGGGAAATTAATGCTTTCAATCCGCTGAACCAAACCTCAGCTTCATCCTTATCCTTGCAAATCTAGAAGAAAAGAATCAGATCACAAAATTATATTAAGCTTAAAAAAAATTAAAAATAAAAATAAAAATAAAAATAAAAATACACCAATAATGATCATAATATAAATTATATCTGTGCAATCAAAGCAGCAGGCCAAGCACAAATCCCCCAAAAGTGAAAAAAAAATTATGCATATACAGCTTGGAAAAAGTTTTCCATCTATAGATAGTGACTACATTATTTGATTAACCAAGCATCAATTTAATTTAACAAATAATCTATCCACAGTTAACCACAAATCTACCATACATTTCTGCCATCATCTGTTTTACAAATTTGTGATTGTAGGTAGATTATCAATTAAATTAATTTGATACTTTGTTAATTAAAAAATGGTTACCCAAGAATGGAAATAACATTTTTTTTCCTGTGCCCAATCTATGGGTCATTTTTCAAGAGGAGGGGAAAAGAAAGAGGAATATAGAAATTTATACCAAGTCTAGTGATCTATCATTATAAATGAGAGAAAATGACTGATATTCCTTCTCAGGCCGCGGATATCTCTGAAAGATTGGCTGAAAAAAAAGTAATGTTTAATCAGTCATAATGGATATAGATGAGAGAACCTTATCATATCTGATGAATTCACTGCAGATGCTCAAAGTCAAGAAGAAGGAACTCCAAATATATTTAAAATTATTAAATAAACCCATGCTCATGCTCACCGGAACAACATGACTGTGTACTGTATTTTTACATAAATGACAACTTATTAGAAAAGACAGCACAAAAGTACATCATCATGTATATAAATTCCTGGAAAGAAACAGCATAATAATTACTAAAGAGAAATCCATGACCCCAACAAATTAATCCTCAGTAGCTAGTAAATCATAATAAATCTGAAGTCTCTCCAGAAGGGAAACAAGATCAAAAAATTCCCATAAAGAGGTATATAATGGAAAAGTTTTAGAATAACAGAGCCAAGCCTCTTAGTAGAAGATGGATAGTGAATGACTCATATTTAATTATATATATATATATATATATATATATATATGTTGTGACTTGTGAGATCACAAAATGCATACATAAAATGAAAGCTTTTTTAAATGTACAAATTACACAATTATCTTAAAACAAATATTCATTAAAATATGAAATGACATGGTTGGCTAAATCAGAAACAGCAAAATGGTATCAATAATTTCCTTAACATTTTAAAATACATACCGTGCGTTGTCCAGATATAATCCTAGAAACATTATTTAGTTTAAGGCGCTTCTCTTCTTTCCCTGAGAACCATATCAAAACAGATTCGTCCTGAAAGCAATAGATAAATCAAATACTTCCAACTTTTGATAACCCAAAAATTATTGGAAGGAAAAAACAACTGTAAAAACTAAAAAATGGAAGCTGTCATGAACAAGTTATCCCAGAAACATAAGCTACCAGGTGAAGACCAATGAATAATTTTATTTCTCAGCCACACCCCCATCCAGGAGTGGTTTGGACTGAGGATCAAACTCCTAACCACTTGGTTGCCGAGGCTCTAATACTTTGCCAAGAACTAACTATCATAAAAACTAGAGAAATTAGGTGAGGACTCATGAATGGTTTTTATATCTAACACACTACCTCACTCCCAAGAGTCCTTAGGCATAAAGCATGGATAATGTACAAGCCCCCACCTACCCTATGCTGAAATTCTACTTTTATTTAAAAGTGCAGGAGTGTCAACGGTTGAAGTCCTGACTCCTGATCACTTGGCCATGGAGTCTACCATGTATGTCATCATGACTCAATTGTCTCAAAAGCTTACTGTTTAGCAAAACCATGTGAATGGTTTGATATTAAAGGTAATGCATAATAAACAATAAGCAATATTATAGCTATAACAAAACAAGCATGATACTAGAGATCAATGAAGTGTCAACAAGCAGATTTCTATAAATAGCACACTTAACCAAAGCATGCAGCATATCTTGATATAGTCAGTAAGGTAATATTGAATTTGCTTAAATCAAAATTTAATGAATATGGCCTTTGGCAAGACAAAGCATTTTATATTTGCATGAAGGATGTCTAACACAGATCCAATCAGTCTCATGATTGAGAAGTCCTTTCCCCGCCCTCCACTATGAATATTCTTGTGATGAAAACTATATTTCTGATAAACTTCAAGGCTCCCCATGGTTTCAAAAGGCAACTCTTCTGATAAACTACATTTCTCCCTACATCTTCCTTTTCAAGAAATGTTACAACTATTTATAGAATAAAATAATAAAAGCACAAAGAGAGTGAGGCTCTAAGTTTGTCTTTGAAAATAATACAGGGACAAAGTAATGGCAAACACATCTTACAAACAAAAGATGGAGATACACTTTCACAAGGACTAATCTATATGTACAGAAAAAGCAGCACAAAACTCACATTGGAAAGCCGAAAGGGACAGAACTTGGGCTTTCCTCTTCTTCCATACTTGAGCAAGTAAGCCCCTTTTTTTAAAGCAGTAATGGCCTGTAATTAAGACAAATAAAGAACCTCAATCAGTACGTATAGTCAGCACATATGGCAAGCACAATAGCATCCTGTGTGAAGTCTCAAATTCTGTCACACACAACAACAATAGATTGAATGCACATCAAACACCCTTTCGTATTAAAAAAGTCTATGAAATATTTAGCGCCCATAAGAAGCAGTCAAGCAGCTAGAAATTTTGAAAGAATTCTTTGACAACCATGGACCCATTAGTTTGGCAGAAATTGCTCCTTCTTATCCTGATTTGCTACTTAGCAGCATCTCCACAAGCAACGAAAGGACTCAAGCAGACAGGAAAATTCAAGAAGATGCACTTGCTCCCACTCTAAGCTACAACCTAAATACCACTATCAGAAATTAAAGAGCAAGAGATCCTTCGGTAATGTTCATCATCAACTTTATCCACTACAATGTTGAGCTCGTCAAATCATAAATAACCTAGTCAGATACAACAACGAAAGCCTTTTACCACCATGCAAGTTAAACAACATGAATCAAATGATGCCACTGTGTTCTGTACAAAACCAATTCTTCAACAATTCGACATACTTTTTAATCATTTCCCTTGGAATCAATCTTTCTTGGTCTACTTGTACGGTTATACATCTATTTATTAGGCTATTCTCCATCTAATCAGCACTTCTAATAGGAGCCACAATCAGTCCTCTTCTAACATGTTCAAACCATCCTAGACACGAGTCTACCAACTTTTCCTCAATAGAAGGCACTCCAACTTTCTCTCCAATATATTCATTCTTGGCATAAATAATCAAACATGCTACCAAAAATTTCCTGATTTTTTATTAATTGTGAAAGGTATGCTGGATGACAACAATTTTGTTTTAGTGTGTTCAATATTTGAGAGGCTTTGAACAAGCTCAAAAACTAATTCACTTGTATGCTATGGTTCATGGGAGACCATAAAATCAATGATTTGGTGCAGCTAGATGAGTTTAAATTAGGGTAAAATAAAACTTCCTCCCTATGTAGCATACCAGCTGCTATGGAAGCAATTTGGAGCCACAATAGGGCACTGCCACAATTTTTTGGGAGTCAGGGAACCCCAACACACTCCACTCCACTCCAGCACAATAGCTTTGGCTGCTATTGACTACTCTACCTAACATCAGTATAAGAATAGTTGAATTAATATATAATTTGGTCCCAAAAAGGAAGCAACTTGTGTTGTTTTGATCCTTGAAAGTATACATCTATACAAATTGGTCCCCCAAAATGTCAACACCATAACAATTAAACAAGTTAGTGTGTGATAGCCTGTTTGTGGATTTCCCACTTTCGATGCACATTGAACGGGAAATCCACTCTCACAAAGCATTCATGTTCAACAGAAGGTAAGTGGATACAAACACACCTAAAATCCTTTTGTTAGTGACATGAAACAAAAGCAATGATGTCATTGATGTGTAATGTTACGTACACACACAGAATGTTATTTTCACACTAAATTGCTGACAATAAATCCACAAATGACATTATCAGTATGTAGACTGGAAAAGACTGAAATTTCACCCATTCTCCCAACGGAATATCTCTAATTTATGCATGTTAGAAATATAATATAAAATCATTCATGCATCTTTACCTAATATCTTAAGCTTTTGGGGTGGTTGATTCATGACTGGGTATCAAAGCCTCTATGACCAAGTGGTATAGAATTTAATCCTCATTGTCTCCCATTCTTCTAATAAAAAAGTTTAATTTGAGCCCAAGGTAGGCAAGCCTATGCATAGTCCACACTTCAAGCCCAAAGAGCTCTTGCATGAGGAGACTTGGTAGTTAGAAATATAATTTAAAATCATTATGTGCCTTCACCTAATAGCTTAAGCTTTTGGATTGTTAGTTCATGAAAATGTAAATCCCCAAATCTCTCAAACCAAAGTGATAGGTTTATAACATCATTTGAGGATTCCATGTAAGAAATTTAGTTGGCAAATAATATTACACGTGTACCTAACATTCTACTTCAAAATTCCCGTAACATCTTAATAACATCAATAGACAGAAGAGGTAAGTTGTAATGAAGTTCAGAACTTGTCACTTTTGGGGACAAATTTGCAAAGAGAAGCACTTTTAAGTTTCAAAGACCAAAGCAACACAAACAGACACTTTTGAGGACCAAATTGAATATTAATTCAAGAAGTGTCTATACTTCATAGATACAAAAACAGGCCAGAGTTTCTGTAAACTTATCCAGAAGTATCTACAAAGAGAAAAATGCTCCTTCTACACTAACACGAAACCAGAATGTCCATGTTTAAACTTTTATGATCGGGAAAGCATGTTTTCTGATTCCATTTCCACATGTACATTCATTTTCCCAAATCACAAAAGATTGCAAGCAAGCCTCATACAACATACTACTGTCGCATTTCCAACCATTATTACTAAATACTAATGGCGACCAACATTTCCACTCACTGAACCGAATATCAGTTTTTACTCCTTCCCTACCATTCACAATTACAGAGATCAAACTAATAAGCATAATTACAAAGCATTTCTATATTGCAAGATGGTGTAGAACACACGTATTCGGTGTAGAATCAAACCCACTCATTACTAGCAAAAGGAAACCCAAAAAACTGACTTCAGATGATGATAAACCCCTACCTGGAACTTCAAGCAAATTAATGAACCAAACTTATACTTAACGGTCTTCCACTACAGTACTACCAAGTTATCATCATTTTTTGTTACATTTATTGACATTGTTTGAATTTTAAACAATAAATAATTAAAAACCTACTAAATATTACTTATCATTATATATATCAATAAATAAAATATTAAAAAAATTCGATTTGAATATAGTAGTCACGAACTAACCAATATACCTGCTCAATGTCTCTTTCAACGGGACCAGTTCTATTAAGATCCGAAGTCGTCGTCATCGTATCAGTGCGTGACATCACTCGAAACACAAAATTCAACACTCGGAAGAAACTATTCCCCAAATCCAAACACCAATTTCACACCCACTCACCCATTCTCGTGCCCGAACCCTTCCATTCACCCAAGCACGCTCCCAAACCCTCGCTAAACCCCGAATTCGCACACTCCAACGCCTCAAATTCTTCACCCGCGCCCAAATTCGAAACATCCACCATCATAACTCCAACTCGCACAATTATAGTAACTTCGCCGTCGTCACCACACCGGAAGCATCGCAATGCTTCGTAACTCCGCGCCGCCGTGCACGGCAACAGCTCCGGCGAACTCCGGCGCCGATCGGCACCGGAAGCAGCTTCTAGGACACGGAGGAACCACGCGATCGGAACTCTCTACGGATTCCGGCGAGTGAGGAATCGCCGAGCTCGGGGAAGTGCGGTGGAGAAGAAAACTCAGCCGAGAAAGTGCGAGAAAATCGGAATGAGAAAATCTCCGGCAAAACTCTGATCTGATTGCGGAGCTGAAGAAGAGAGAGAAACTGTGTGAAGAGGAAAAACAAAAAAAGCATATAAAATAAAAATATATATATATATAAAAAATTGAGTGTGGTGTCTCTGATGGTGATAAGTGTTTGAGTGAGGAAAGGAAGTGGAAAACAAAGAAAAGGAAAGAAAAATAAGCGAAAGAGAAAGGAAATAATAAAAGTGAAGGGAGGGAGAAGATTGGGTTTGGTTTTGAGTTAAATTTCGAGTTTGCCACTGCGCTTTTCGTTTGGTTCCGCGATTTTGGCGTTTGGGTGTTAGAATATGGAGTGAGTGGGAAAGAAGTGGTTCGAATTGACTGTTACTTAAATTTTGAAAGAAATGGGTGAGGCTGTTCTAGTCGTTGTTGAGTGTATTTATTTAATGGTTATTCTCTTTTCTGTATATGATGACTAAGATTATATTTTTTTGTTTTTATTGGTTTTGAAAGAAAACACAAATGGAAAAAAAAAATTAATGTTATTTCTATGTGTACCATTAACTTTAAACAATAAAAGAGAAAAATAATATATAATGAGTGATAAAATGGAGAGAAATAAAAAAAATGTTATATGAATAGTAAGAATAACACAATTTAAATAAAAATATAATTAATATTTTGTTTGAATAACAATTATTTGTTAAATTTCTAATCTAATTTTTATTCTCATTTTTGTTTTATTTATAATAAATTATAAAATATTTGTAAACTAGTATTTTAGTTTGTGTAATGCACTTAGTTTGTGTAATGCACATTGTGAAGTTATTTTCATATAATAAATAAATATTTTGTGTATATAAAAATTATATTATAATTAAAAAAACTTATAAATAAATTTTACTATATGAATTATATTAATTTTATGATAAATAATTTATACTATGATTAAAAAATTATTTTTAATTGCCAATAATTTACTTTAAAAATAAAATTTAATTTGAAAATGAAAATGAAATGATAAAAGACAATAGTAATAATATAATTAATAAGAGGGTGAATGGTGACTCCAAGAAAGTGGGTCTGATGTAGGGTTTAGGGTTTCATGATATCTGTCCCCGTTCTCGCAAGTTAAACTCGTCCCCATACCCGTCGGGTATAGATTTTCATCCTCATCTCCGTCCCCGTCGAGTATCGGGTATACCCGTACCCATATCCGTACTCGTCAAATTTTTTATTTTTTATTTTTTGCAAAAAAAATGATATTTTTAAATTATTTTTTTATTATATTATAATTATAATTAGGTTATTTCTTTATCTCATATTATAATAAATAATCACACAAAAAAATTAATTTTTTTTAATATAATTAAATTGAAAGTGAGTATTAAATTAAAAATGGCACCCATACCCGTACCCGATTTAATATATCGGGTTTTACCCATACCCGTACTCGTACCCGGTCAAACCGGGTATTCCCCGTCAAAGTCGGGATGAGTTCAGGTATTACCCGCGGGTACGGGTATATTTGTCATCCCTAGTCTGATGAGATCTAAAATGTAGCCCTTATTCATCTACACTTTCAAACATGTTCCCTTTTGTTTGGTTCCTTCAAAGCAAAGAGTGAATTTGAAAATAGGATTCTTCACAAGTTACTCTTTCCTCACTTGAGAACTAATAAGATGCATCCCTCATTCAATCCCTTTCTATGTTTCTACTTTCTTAGTCTATGTTTATGCCTTTAGGGATAAGGAAATAGACTTCTTAAGATTGTTGTGCTCTCATACAGTTAATGTAGAGTTTACTTCATTTGTAAAATACATGATAATTAAGAATATATGGTAAAATGGACCACAATCTTATTATATAAATAAAATTATGGAACGATTTTGATAAAGATGATGATTTCTAATAACTGTCATTTCTATGTATGAATTCTTGTAGAAGTTGCATTACTAATTGTGGATGTTTGGATGAAAATTTTCTAAAAATTGTATTATTGAAGAAAAACATCTAAAATCTCTATTATTAAAAAAAATCTCTAAATATATTATCATTCAATAAAACTAGTTTAGTTAATATATAAGTAGAATTTTATTGAAAAGATCATGTAAATAATATTAAATTTAATTGAAAAATAAAATTATATACATTTTTCATCAATATATGTAAAATAATATATTATAAGAGATAATATGTTGTGAAAAATTCTAAAACATATTTACGTTAACAAAAAAATTAAATATGCTCTCATTAAAATATTTTGTAGATTTCAAAAGATTTTGTAAGAATGTAATACATTTTTAAAATACTTTTATAATCAATATTTTATAATCAAAATAATTTAAATTTGAAGTTTTTCAAATTTTAAAATTTCTCATTTGAACATAATCTTGTGTTGGGATTGAGTAATTCAAGGGAGTAAATGCAACACAATGTTTTCATATATGTTTATTATTTGTTTTTGTGTTGATTTATGTCATTTTGAATTGCTAGTTGTGTTTAGTGGTTTGTTAGAAGTCAGAGGCTTAAAAATTCCTTGAGAATTAAACTTTTGTGAGTTGTGGTCTAATTTAACTAAGAACGGAAAGGGATATATAAGGAATTTTTGGAAATTGAAACTTCATAAGCTTCATTTCCAAAATTTTTATAGAGAGAAGTTAGAGATAGGAACTCTAAAATCAAGGGAGATTGTGTCTTCTTTTGATTTCCCCCAAGAGTATATATATCATTCCCTATAGCTGAGATCAAGTCTCAAAATTTTTTTCAAGTTGTGGAGCTTGAATTTTAAGGAGAAAACTTGACCCTAGAGGTTGCTCTTCCTCCTTTTTCCTTGATTTCTAGTTTCGACGAAGCTGATTAAGATAAAGAAATCTTATTTTTCATTCTTTAAAGTTGATTTATATTGTAATTGTTGTTGATCTACCAATCAGTGGCATAGATGTTCGATTTTGATGATAGTTGTTCATGCAAAGAAGTTGGGATTTGGAAGGAGTTGAACCCAAAACCAAAAGATGTTAAATTTAGGTTGATTTATAAATGCATGTTGATTCTAAATCTAGATTTGTGTTATGTGAGTTGTTTAGAATTGTTTCCATGGATTAATGTTGTTTTTGGTGTTAGAATAAGTTGGGAAAGTGCATGCACTATAACACCTAAATCTTTCTAAATTTAATAGAAGAGTTTAAATTAATTAATTCAATTTTGGAATTAAATAAAAGGATTTTGTATAATGTGTATTTGGAAACTATATGTTTTATTATATTGTTTTGTTATGTTTTATTTTATTAAAAAAGAAAAGAGTTGGTTTTAAAATGGAAGGCTTTAAAAGTTAGGTCAGGTTTGACATTTCATGACAATAGGGAGGAGATCACTAAGAGTTGTGCCATCTTCAACTAGCTTTCCTCGAAATAAATGAGAGTGGGTAATTTTACTCTAGGATGTCGATTATATGTTAAGTAGCAAGATTGGTCCCTAATCTCAATGTTGTTTATATGTGCTTTGTGACACCCTTACTACTCCAACACATATATTGTAATAATAAAACTAACAAATAAATTTTCATCTTCGGTAAAAGGGTTCACATAAAAACCTTCACAAATGTTATTCAATATCCAAAATGATTGAAGATAAAAATTGGAAAGTAAAACTTAAGAGTTTACAAATTATTTTCAAAATAATAGATACAACTCCAATTCTATATAAAAAAATCCATGTTCTAGAGATCCTCTGCCCCGATGTCACAATACCAGAGCATACCCATAATTCAACTATTGGCATTCTAGATGTCACTCATAGCCGGATCTTCCTCACCTAAAACATCCACAAATTGTATGGTGAGAAAAGAAAACATCTATATGTAAAGCACATAAGAAAAACACAACATAATCCCATCTTTACTCATTACTTAATAAAATATTCACAAACATTTATATATATCATACTTTATCAATCATGCATCATCTTCACGTCATAACTCGCAATCAAACCAATTCATCACAAATCTTGCAATTAACATTATCATTTTCACATCCATAATTCACACAAATCTTACAATTAACATTATTCCAAGGCCATGTCACAACTGACATAAGTGATATGGGTTAATTGCCTCACTCATCCCACACTATGCAAGGGTCACGCCCTCCCTGTAGCATCACTTACCCAAGGGCCGTGCCATTCCTGGTTATTGATGTGAGGAACCACAATCACATCACAATCCACACAAATCTTGCAATTAACCCTATGTCAGGGCTGTCATATTTGACATAAGTGATACGTGTTAATTGTCTTACTCATCCCACACCATGCCAGGATCACGCCCTCCCTGTAGCATCACTTACCCAGGGGTTGTGCCATCCCTAGTCATTGATGTGAGGAACCACAATCATAATCATATTCACATCCATACAACATCTCATCTCATAGTCAATTCCATATCACATACACAATTCCATATCACATACACAATAGATAAGTCCAACAAAATAAAGGTTTACACACCCCTCAATCAATTCACATCTAGATCATCAATTCTTATCAAGTAATACAACAATAACATTCATAAATTAATATAATAATCAATAGAATTACCAATTTAATATAATCTTAACATAAATGGTAAAAACCCCAATTATTTCAAAACCAAACTCACAGGCACTTTTCTACAATTTCGTTCTCTCTCCCAAATCATAATTCTTACAAATTAAATATATATTCATAATTCTAAATACATACAGAATCACATAAGACCGATAATTCTCCAAATAAAAATAATTATAAAATTACTCATAATCCTACGAGCTTCCTCTTCTACTCAATTCCCTCATGTAACTTTGCATAAAAATAATCCTCTTTTCCTCCGTACCTGGATAAATAGTAGCTGAAACTAAAATAGATATCTCCTTGGTCTCCTCCTCTGAGTGCCCCTCGATCTTCAGAGAGTGTAGAAGGAAAAAAAAGAATGTAGAAGAAAGAAGTCAGAAATGAAAGGTGTGCTTTTTGGGAGTGCCAGAGCTCTCTATTTATAGGCATCAAGCGTCGCCAGAATGACCCGTTTCAAATCCGGAACAGCCCGTTCTGGACTCTGACGGCACGTGCAAAATTCACAACCAGAACGGCTCATTCTCAATTAGGGTTATAGGCATTTTTAGTGATTTGGAACGCCCTATTCCAATTTGGGAATGGCCCGTTTCCATCTAAAATTTGTAGACAATTTTTGTATTTTGGAGTGGCCCGTTCCAGTTTGGGAACGGCCCGTTCTAGGCTACAAAATCACTCTCATTTTAGTAGTTTGGAACGGCTCGTTCCAATTTGGGAACGGCCCATTCTGGGCTACTAAATCA